CATGTGTGTGTGTGTGTGTGTGTATGTGTGTGTGTGTGTGTTTTATCACTATTTTTTAAAATCCTGAAGTATCAGGTCAAGGACTCCTGGTGTAAGTGCCTAACACCACCCCCCTCCCAGAAGTCTCGAAAGACACTTCAACCAGAGTGCATGAACTTAAGTAGACCCTGTGTCAACAGACGGTCCCTGACACACACGCAGCTCACACGCCGACAGGCCCAGAACTTGGACAAAGTTTATTTTGTGGGTGGTTGCCGCGTTGTGTGGGGTGGTTTGCTCCTTCTTTCCTATCAAACATCTATCGTCCTTATCTCCCCTTCTTCTTTTTTATGTTAGTTCCTCTCATGTAACACCTCTGATTTTCTGGAGCTCATATGACCTTTTGCAGTTGCAAGCACAGTAAAACCTCTACTAAAAAAAAAACCCAGTTTATTTTGAATTGATCATCTGTATGCCGCAACTGAAACAGTTATCAGGCCATCATCGGAGAATTCTGAGTGTTAACAAAAACGAAAGTAGGTCTTGAGAATGTCCCAAGTCAGAATGCCAAATCGATACTAGTTCCATTATAGCTGAACTAACATGTGCAAGCAAATATCCAACACAACTTGGGGGTGAGTCAACTACTAAATCCTGCATGAATATATCGGAAAATAGTGCTCTGAGTTACTGCTGACAGTTTAACAAGTGCTTCCCGTGACAGAGAAGAAGGCAGAGTAAGTTTTTAGAAAAACCCAGCGCAACAGACGGCACTTAAAAAATCGGGATACACGCATCAAAATCGAGATTTGCAGTAAAAAAAATCAGGATATCCTGATTAAATCAGGATAAGTGGCAGGTCTGATTTACATGACACAAGATCAAAATAGACCGACTCCCAATCAGCCAGACTTGCAAGGAAAAAAAACACACACACAAAAAAAAAAAAAACTTTTGAATTTTGTATCTTTACGTGTGGAATGAAAATTATAAGTTTTTCAGAACATTTCTTTTGCTAACACTACCCTTGAGAAACAACAACAAAAAGAAAAAAAAATCCCCCCAAAAATGTATGCCAACATCTATACCCTTAACAAAAAAACAAACTTTACAAACCTGATGTCCCAGAAATATGTGAAAGTATCAACTGAGCAGGATGCAACAATATTCACATCAAATGGGGACCAGTCCACATCACTGAAAAAGAAAGTAAATCACACCCCTATTGAATTATTTATACTAAAACTATATATACTTGGACATTTTCAAATCCTACAAAGGCACAAATGCCTTTTTCCTAAATCACTGAAGTTAAAAATCTGAACACAGTTGGAGAAATAAATCATCCCTAGAAAAAGGGAAATCACATAAGAGGATGTCATTTTGTTTCATGTCACTAACAAGACAATCAACCCAACAGGGGCAACCCTGAGCCGAGAAGGAGACAGCATCCCAGCAGACAGATTACAGTCTGTTTCTTCCTGACCCTTTCAAATATATAAAACCTGGTGTAGAATGCTGATAAAAAAATAAACATTTCATTCCACATTTGACAGGTGATCAAAAGTATCATGAGCTAACAATGATTACAATGACAATTTATCGCATTTTTCTAATTTAAAAGGGACGGTCCCAAAATCAAACCTTATAAGATCTAATGAGCATCCTTTTGATTTCAAATACAGAGACATTACAGCGACAAATAGATGTTGTTTGGGTACCATTCCTAGTTAACCCATATTTGACAATATCATTTCTACGAATTCCTATATTTTAAAAAAATCAGCGCACCACAATAAACCACTGCATTTCGTTTGATGAACTCAAACAAATCACCTTTTAACAATTCCATAATAACTCATTTTTTAATAATATTTAAAGAAATCGCTTTGGTGGCTGAGTGGTCTGGGAGCTCAGAGTCAAAATAATGTCAAGCAAAGATGACACTGACACTGTGTTTAGGTGGGTGATTGCTATGGTGTATCTCTTTGAACAAAACTCATAACCCTAGCCCAAAAGCAGGCTGAGGTAGTGATGCTTTCTTAAGATCATCTGTAATGGTGTGTCGGTGTAAATCTTAATAAAGCGCTCATATGACCTTATGCAGTTTCGAGCGCCATAAAACCTTTACTAAAACTAAAACTAAACCTTAATAATTATACTAATTTACAGGTCTTCTGTCCACAAAAACTTTACTAAAACTAAAACTAAACCTTAATAATTATACTACTTTACAGGTCTTCTGTCCACAAAAATTAGGTTTTAAGTACCCCTAAAAGACCACCGCAAAATTTAATTTACCTGACAGTCCGAGAATGAGCTTTCATAGAGCACAAGTGTGAAGCTGAAGCATCTCGGTAGTCAAACACATCTAAACGCTGATTGCACTGGAGAGTAAAAGAAGAAAACAAGCTTATTAGAAAAAACCAAAACAACGTAAAACTGAAAGTCAAGCTCAGGCTTCACACAACAAGGAAGAAAAATCACATCTAGTTCTGGAAAGATAAATAATGCCTGTAGATTAATATGTCAGTAGTGAACTCTATATGGTGCGAGAGAGAAGAGGTAGGGGAGAGTTTTTTCGATATAATTTAACTGTGTAAAATGGTCATCTGTCCAACGAGGCCGCGGCCACCTTCTTTTATCAACCCACGGTCAAATTTACTTGCCTCAAACGGCCATGTGTGGTCACTCATTGCACTATGCTTTGTCATAGATTTTGAATCGGCCCTTAAGGCTGTGTACGGACGTCATAATTCATTCACCCTTCCTTGAAGTTAGTCCATCCAATGAATATTTACCCTAGTTGACAAATGGGCAACAATAAATTTTCAACTGCTGGTGAGGTAAGCATTTGATCCGCCATAAACTGCTATATAACCACAATTCACGCACAAAAACAAATCATATGTGAAGTAACTGATCATTGTTTTGTTTACCTAATCAGAATCTCTAACAAAGTAACAATGGACTTTAACGTTAACAAGAGTCGCCCGTTCTCCGGGAAGTGGCGACCCAGCCCAGTGTCTGTTTTACCATGACACACGGTCTTCATCGTCTTCCAAACGTTCATATAATTGCACACAATTAGCACCAAAAAAAAAAGCTAACCAAAAAATAAACCAACAAAACAGCAGCAACAACAACAAAAACCCTACTTACACCCCCTCACACAACCTCCTCCATTTTTCAAAAGAAAACAAAAACCCTTGAATTTGCCATACGACCCAAGCCTGAGATCAGCCCCGGTTTGGACCTCGGAAGAGAATGGTTTGCTTTCTTCATTCTAGTCAGTCCTGCCTAAGACGGCCACCTGTGTTATAGGGCCACTTTTCCCCTTGACAATGGGTGGCTGTTTTACACAGGTTTGTCTGTATATTATAAAACCTGTTGAAAATGATCCATCACTTCAGTTGGCCACACCATGCACTGACTGTACCCTTTTCCAGCATGCAGGTTTACCAGCATTCTGCACTATACACTTTCTACCATTTCTTGAATCACTAACCAAGGTAAAAAGTGAAAAACAATGTCAACATCATAACATATTACATTATTCAGCATTAAACCTTGTTCTAGAGCTTAAAAAACAAAGCATATATAACACTACAATTTCAAGTGTATTAGAGCTAGAGATGCTCGTCTTGTAGCAACCACAAACCAAAACCAAACAAACAGAAATATAATAAAATAGTACACACAGCAGTGACAAATCTGTGCGAGTGAGAAGGTTGTCCATTCCACTGGACACAGCCGATGTCCCATTTGCTTTGGCGAGTGACTTTCACCACAGTCTGACTTGGTCTACTCAGATCAACAAATGCCAAGTTCTTGCGGCTGTTGAAAAGTGAAGGAAAATCAAGTTCATTACTTAATGTGCGTATACCAACACTGATCCATCTTAAAAGCACTGCTAGTAATGCAAACAAAGCCCAAAAGAGGATATAATAGACATTCATATTTGCCATGGTGGACAGTTTTTATTTGGCACTGATATCACACAGCTTTCCTTTTCATTTTTGTTTCAGAGAGCTATCCTTTTCTGTTTCATGTAACAGTGCAAATAAACATATATATATATATAAAATCACTGTTCGATATGAAGCACAGTAGAAGCGTCAAAAACAAAACAATCATGCTCCTCTCAGGGTAATTTTAATTTATCAACAGGTTTATGAAATGATCAGTAATTTATTGCTTTTCTAAATTGAGAAAATTCAACAATGTGTATAACTTCATAAAACTAAAGAGTTCGCTCACCCAGCCAACAGCACCCAGTTGCCCAAACAATCCACAGCCATAGCACTGGCCTGCAATGCAAGGATAAGAAACAAAAATTTTTACAAATTATTTTAACAGTTTTAAGCGCAATATCATGTGTATACTGTACAGGCAGCAAAAAAGACAGCAAGTTTTCGCCCCCAAAACAGTGCATCTGTGTGCAGGTCTAAAAATAAAAATTTACCCACACCATTTTATATGTAATTTAAGTAATTATGATGCCGTCAGCAGATTTTTGAAACCCTCTATCCTAGACCCTAGATTATATATATATATATATTATATAAATATA